TGGGGAATCCTGGGAGTTAAAAGTCCACACATCTTAAAGCTTCCAAGGTTGAAAAACACTGCTGCAGATCACAACAAATTGTGGATAACATATACTGGGTTATCTTATTTGCCTACTGAAAAATTTCTTGGATGCCCAGGAAGTGATAGAAGAGAATAGGAAGCAACTAAATGTTCAAAATGGGGGAGAGAGAGTGTCAAGACCGTATCCTGTCCTTTTATTTATTTAATTTCTACATAAAATATATGGTGAGATATGCTAGACTTGGTGAAAATGGAAATAAAATGGCTGCAAGAAATATTAGCGGCCTCAATTATGATAACTGCGGATAAACTTTGGATGGCTGGAAGCAAGGATGACTTAAATAGTGTCTGGTTGAAGGCAAAAAGGGGAGAAAATACAATAGCCCATCTGCTCCTCAATATTAAAAATTACAATTATGCCACAGATAATGAAATCCCTTGCAAAGAGACCGAGAAGAAGTTGAAGTAGTAATAGGCTTCATCTTCCTAGGCTCAAAGATCCACAGAGGTGGTGCCAGCAGCAGTAAAATAAAGAGGCATCTACTGGTTAGGAGAAAGACTTTTGAAAAATCTGAGCAAACTATTAAAATGCAGAGACGTTGCATCCCCAACAAAAGGATGTATTGTCAAGGCCATGATTGTGCCAGTTGTAACATCTGGCTGGCCGATCAGAAGGCTGAGCAAAGGAAAATTGCAATGAAGAACATTGTTGAGGGACCCCTGGACCGTGAGAAGAACAAATGATTCAGTACTATGGTAAATGAGGAAATGCTAATGGGAAACACAAGGAATGCTTCAACATTTTAGACACCCTGCAAAAACTAGACTCATTGGAGAAGGCCCAGGTGTGTGGAGAAATCAAAGGCCATTGGAAAAGAGGCCAGCAGAAGACCCGGCAGTGAGATGCTAATACTGATGTCACAAGCTTGGAAGAGGTCAAGACATAGATACTGATGAACAATTCTGGCCAAATGAGTTCCACTGGATCACGGAGTTGGAAGTAACTAAACAACAGTTCTATGATCAGGTTATGGTTGATGTGTGCTGTGAGAGCCCAGAAAAGGGGTTAATTCACCAGATTGCATAAACAAGTTATGCAAATGCAACCTAAACGTAGTATGACCTCACCTACCAAGCAGCAGTGCTAACCCCACTGCAATGCCCCACAGCAGGCTTCCTGAATCTGGTGCTCCCTAACCCCAGATGTAGGAAAGAGAAGAGGACAACCAGCAGCCAGGTGGAAGGGCTCAGTTGCAATGGCAATGGGGACATTGTTAGAAGACCTGAAGGACCAGGCTGGGGAGAGACCATCATGGAGGTAATCTATCTGTGTGGTTGCTAAGAGTCAACACTGACTTGATGCCACATCATCCATCCATCCATCCATCCATCCATCCATCCATCCATCCATCCCCCCCAGATATCCTAGGGTTGCAAGATCATGCTGAATGGCAATGCTAGAAATGGATGTCTGAATACCCTCTGGAGGACCTGAGTTGGGAAATGCTACAAACGCTCAGAAATACGTCTCAAAGACTTGTGCCATTTGGGTTCACTCTAGGCAGCTATCTTCACACAGCCTTCACGCAACCAGGTCAAACAATGACCTAGCAGCTGACTATACCCCATCATGCTAAATGTGATTCTTCCCAGCTTGCTTTGCTCTTGGGGCTTAATTAGCGTGCAATTCAGTGTATTGTGGAAACCCAGAAAATGGATTAATGCAGTAGTCAAGGTTCATGTATTGTTTGAAGCTAACCCTTAGATTTCTCCAGCAATTCCTCTCTCAGTCAGACATTTCTACCCAGCCTTGTCACTTCCCAGAGTAGAGAAAGCAGAGAAAAATATTTCCTACCCTCCCTCTTGCATCACAAGAAGACCAAGAGTAGCTAAGGAAGGTTAAGCAAAGTCAGAAGGATGACACTTCTTCCTCTTGGGGTCATTAATTAACTTGTGGGATTCCTTGACACATGAAGTGAGGGTGGCCAGTGTCTAAGCCTGATGCCCCTCCTTCTCCAGCCTGAAATCCTCTAGATCACTGTTGCTCAAACTTGGCAACTTTAAGACATGTAGACTTCAACCTCCAGAATTCCCCAGCAGCATGCCAAGTTTGAGAAACACTGATCTAGATGTTTAGGGATTACTATACCCCATATTTCCAGCTAGCATGGCATTTGGTGATCATCCTGGAAGCCGTAGTCTCAATGCACTAGAGGAAGAGTTGCCTTCGCTTCATTTAGAAAGGATGAAAAAACTCAAAGGACAGTTTTATCAATGGCTACAGGTCAGAGAGCTGATTGGAACCTCCATGTTCAGAGCCAGTCTAGCCTGGAATGCCACAAGAGTCAGGTAGAGAACAGGGGAGGGGAGTCACTTTCAAGAACAGACATCCAGTTGACCACTAATGGTAGCAATGCTAGGATGGCATACCAGATGCAGCAAGACGTGGGTCACATCATTAAATCCTTCCTCCTGCCTGCTTACCTGTGAAGGCTTCAGGATCAATATAAATCCATTCAATTGTTTTTCCCTCTTCAACGGTCAACAAGAGGTTGATTTCAAGGGCATTGTAGGTCTGAGATCTTGCAAGGAGAGACACAGAACTAAGATCAATTCATAGCATTGGTATTGCTGAAGCATCTATCAAGGTTGTTTCCTCTTCCACCACCACCACTAACCCTAGCCCTTTTGCCTCCTTCTCCCCTCTCTATGATCTGGACCAATCGGCCAATGGCAGCCAGAGAATCCCAGCCAGAACTTCCATGACAGCAAGGCAGCTCAACCAATCACTGCCAGAAGCAACGTCACCAACCGTCAATCTCTAAAGTCATTTAGGAAACCACTTTACTAGATATGAAGATATTAGTCAAGACAGGAGTAAGAAGAACTTGTTCAGAAGGACAAATTATCCTTAGTAATCATGACATATATTTAGCTGGTGAAGAGTATGGCCATAAGCTATCCATGAAAGGCAGGGGTGGGAATGACAATCTGAAAGTCACACCAGATTTGGTCATTGGGGACTGGTGGCCATGCTTTAATCTGGAGATCTTCTTCCAAGGCCACCAGGAAGGTCTCGAAGGCAAGTCAGATGCTATTGCCCATCCTTCTCCTATCACAAATGGAACACACAAGGACTCACTGGAACACCATGGAGCAGTTTTGCCAATCGAAAGGGAAATAGGTGACGAAAATGGAACAGACACTCCGGTAAATAGCTGGGGGCAACCAAGTGATGTTTCCATCAGGAGCCACCAAAGCGTTGGCATATAAGGCGACATCAAAGACCCCATCGATGCTGCAGAAAAGAAGAGCGGCAAGAGATCAGGGAGGTTTGAGGCTTCCATTTCCTGTCTTGCTGGCTTCACCATGTGGTCTCTGTCCCACAAGCCATTTCATCCTTCTGCAACAAATGCTCTTTGGATGCACTGAATTCCCCAGCTAACATGCAGCCCCGGGAATGTTAAATGTGGCCTACCCTAAGGCAGTGTTTCTCAGCCTCAACAACTTTAAGATGTGTGGACTTCAACTCCCAGAATTCTGGGAGTTGAAGTCCACTCATCTT